TTAGAAACACATGCATGAAAGAAAAAAAACATTAAAATACATATTTAAGGGATCGTTTTCCTAACATCACATTATCTGACCTTTTCCGCTTGACTCATACATATACTAGATATTGCATATAAGGGAAACCATGGGACCTATGTTTCTTTGGGCCTGGCTTACTTCACTTAATATAATTTTTTCCAAGCCTTTCCATTTCCTAACAAATGGGGCAATGTCATTCTTTCTGATGGAGGCATAGAATTCCATTGTGTATATATACCACATTTTCTTGATCCATTCATCTACTGAGGGGCATCTGGGTTGGTTCCATATCTTAGCTATGGTAAATAATGCTGCAATAAACATTGTTGTGCTGGTAGCTTTAGTGTGGTCTTGACATTACAGGATGGAATAGGAGAAACCCTAGGTCTCCTTGGCTCAGGCCGAAATTTTCTGAATAGAGACCCGGAAACACAACAAATCAAAGAAAGGTTGGACAAATGGGATTGCATAAAGTTGCAGAGCTTCTGCAGGGCAAATGACATAGCTAGCAAGATCAATAGAAAGCCCACGGATTGGGAGAAGATCTTTACTAGCCATACAACGGACAAGGGTCTCATATCTAAAATATACTTGGAACTCAAAAAATTAAACCCCCCAACAACAAATCTTCAAAGAAACAACTGCCCAATAAATAAGTGGGTGAAAGACTTAAAGAGAAACTTCTCTGAAGAAGAAAGAAGGATGGCCAATAGACACATGAAAAAATGTTCAACATCCCTAGCCATAAAAGAAATTCAAATCAAAACAACATTGAGATATCGCCTCACTCCAGTTAGAACGGCAAAAATCAAGAACTCTAACAACAACAGATGCTGGAGGGGATGTGGACAGAAAGGAACCTTACTTCATTGTTGGTGGGAATGTAAACTTGTTCAACCACTTTGGAAAGCAGTATGGAGGTTCCTCAAAAGACTACACATAGAACTCCCCTATTACCCAGCAATCTTTATTCTCTCTAATATAAGGTATTTGAGAAGGGGATGGATGGGGGAAAAAGTTAGTTAGCAGAAGAGATATAGAGGGGCCAGTGGCCACCTTTCCTTCTCCCTGTAGGGTTTGTTGATGAGCATTAAAGACAGTGTGCTTAAAGAAGCCGATTAGAACATAAATACAAATCAAAGGAAAAGCTGTTGAATAAACTGTGGTACTTCCATATTGAATATTTTATAGCGATTACTTAGGTTGAAGAAATCTGTATTAAAGTAGAAAGCAGCAGGATGCATTGTTAGGAGAGAGATACATAAGCAGATTTTATGATGTGATATAAATACAGATGTGTGCATGTGTTTGCAGATGTTTGTATGAACACAGAGCATGGAAAGATGTGTTTCAAACTGCCAACAGTGGTTTCTGAACACATTTCATTATGGCCAACCACTGGGGGTGAAGAAGTGAGCAGTGACATTCAGCAATTAACTCCAAGACCAGATATAAAGCGGTAGACAAACAAGAAAGAGAGTAGACAAGGCAGAAGGCTATTACTTTAATGATGGAGCAAAAAAATATTACCAAAACGATTATTACTGTGTATCAGTGAAATGCTTAGAGGTGCGTAGAAGCAAGTCAGTGAAGATTTAGAACACATGTTAGCACTAGCAATTTCTGGATGGCAGATGATTTTTATGTCTTGTTGCTTCTCTGTATTAGGCAATTTCAAAACAACAAGCATACCTTATTTCCATAAGAAACACAGTGGTATTTCTAAAAATAGAAGATTGTACATAAAAACTGATAGCATTAAGCTGTCTATTACCCAAATCCCTGAGGCAGGGAAAAAAACTCCACAATTGTATGAAATGTTTACAAAATGAATCTCTTTGAGAACAAGAGTTGCAATATGACATTTTAATTCCTTTCCTGTAGCAAAGACTGAAGGAAGAGAAGGAAGCCAAGCGGGCTCACCTGGATGGGAGGCATGACTACCTGCTGGCCATTGTAGCTTCCTGTGTGGACCTGGACAAAGCGGAAGTGGAAGATGCCATTCTTGAGGGGAATCAGGTGTGCTGCACTGGACTTCTTACTGACTTGATTGTGGAGGACACAAGCAGTCTATGGATGCCATCTTTCAGTGGGATGTTGGGTGGTGCCTTAGAGGAAAAATGCTTGCTTTGAAGTGAACAAAGCTCATAACAGAGAGGGGCAGAATAGATGTGGGGGCTTTCCACATCTCTGCGTTGAATAATGGTTCTTGCCATTATTGTCTGAGTCCCATGATTCTAATAGCAATCCTGTGTCTCGACAGCTGATGAAGTTGAGTTTTTATATCTGTTTGGAACCTGTGGTTGAGGAGAAAAAGCTCCTCTCAAGCTACTAACTACTACTGAGTAAATATGTATGTATGTATGTATGTATGTACGTACGTATGTATGTATGTATGTATTTATGTATTCATTCACTGATCCTATTTATCAGTCCACTAGACACTTAACCTCATGACAGGTGACTACTAAAGGGATTGTAGGTATCCATAGGTAGCCATATGTGTTCTCAGAGTTGCTGCCTTTGAATAGCAATCATGTCGATATGGTTTTTAACTGGGTTTCTGACTTGAGGTTAACTGAAAGTCATTTGTGTTTAAATCTAGGAAATTAGCAAAAATGAAGAAACAGTTCTTTTTTCCCCCCCAGTTTGCATATGTCGAAAATATTTTTATGGCTAATTAAATTGCTTCTTTGAATTAACTTTTCACTATAGGGAGACATTTATTTCTTCAGGGATTTTACATTGGGAAAATGGCTCCCTTTTTTGTGGGGTGCATGGGATTTTGTACTCCTGTTTGAAGAAGGCCCATGACAATAGTGGTCCTTTTTTCAAAAGGCCATCCATGTTGATTTAAATGCAGATTTTAATTCAAACAAAGTGATTATTTTGCCTTTGCCTTTTTCCAGATTGAAAGAATAGACCAACTTTTTGCTGTTGGGGGCCTCCGGCACCTCATGTTTTACTATCAAGATGTGGAGGTAGCAGAAACAGGTATTGGAATATGAGGAGGGGTTTGGAGGTGTGGCTCAGTTGGTAGAGCGCTAGTCAGTGAGTGAAAGCAGCAGGTACTGAGTCTTGGACCTAAGGAAAAAAAGAAATTAACTATAATGAGACATATCCCAGGAATGTCAGACTAATTGGTGAGTGACATGAAGAGGTAGAAGAGGTAAAACCACTGGGCAACTAGCCGGGCTTCTTACATCTTGAGGGGCACTGTGTGTGGTGGGCATGGCTGAGCGAAGAGGCTGTTTTCACCTAGGAGAGAGGGGGAGAGTGAGGTAGCACCTCTGTGTTCCTACTTGATGTCATTTGCCTTCTGTCTGGCTGTGCTGGCACTGGGGGAATAATAATTTTACTTTCAGACTTTCTTCTCTCCTACATTAGTTCATTCTACGTGATTCTGTTCTAAAACTTCTAGTAGGCATCTGTTTTACTGTTTAACACAGAAATGCTTGCCATAAGCAAAAACCATTTTTTTCCCCAGTGAACTCTCATTTTGTTTATTTTCTGCTGATTCTGATTTAAATATGTGGTATGAAATGACAGATTTAGTTGTTTTTCACTTAGGAAAATTTGCAAATCTTTTTTGTGGATTCAAATGGCATGTTCTGTTATATTTTAAGTAACTTTATATATGTATACATATATGTGCATATATATATATATATATATATTTGAGACAGGATCTTGCTACATAACTAAGGATGGTGAGTAATTTATCATTTCCTGTACTGTCCACCCCCTTTCCACCTCCTGGGATTACAGGCATTACTACTATGCCTGGCTCTTATCTGGGATTATAAGCATTACTACTATGCCTGGTTGGTTAATATAATTTTTATGGCCAAACAGGGGCATACTAAATATACATTTATTCAAATATTATACATATCCTTTTATGACCCTGTTAAAAAAGATGGAAAATAGTTACTGACCTCGGCATATAATACAAATGCACATTTTTAACAGCTAAAGAAATGATGCATACGCATCCTAAGTCATCTCCAGTTATCAGTGTCACATTTTGTGCCCAGAAAGTTCATTGCATTTTGGCTGAAAAATGAAGACATATGTTTTGATTTTTCCCTCAGATTGCAGAACATGAACTCACAGGGAACATGATTTTCTGTGAACCCAGTTAAGTCTTCTGTCCTGTGCAAATTTCACATGCAATAAGAAGGTTTCACAGGACATAAACACAAAAGCTAGAACATGCTCAGAGAGAGAAGAGAGGGGAGGGGAGAGCGAGGGATAGAGATGGAGAGAGGGAGAGGGAGGAGAGAGAGAGAGCGAGAGAGCGAGCAGGGCGCACATGGAGAAGTGAGGAGGGCAGGGCAGCATGGAGAAGTGAGAGGCCTTGCTGGTTGTAAGAGGTGGCTTTTGACCTTGGCTTTGCCAAGGTCTGTGCAGCCTAGGATAGCACACTTCCTCATGGTGGTTGTGAGTTTTACTTATTTTATTATTTTTATTTGAAAATGCTAAAAACAGAGAGATTATAGTTACATAAGTCAGGCAAGAGTACATCTCCTTTTGGACAACGTCAGGGACAATGTGAAGGGAAGAGGTGACATTGTCTAAAAGAGTGTGGGTTTTAATAATATAGACAGGGTACCTAGCAGAGATCCTGGAATACAGCGTCTGTTTTCTCACTGTCCCCTGGAACAACAAGTTTAAAATGAACCTATAATCTGTGTGTGATCTGGAATCAGGCAGATTGTTTTTGAGGTCCCTTAGGGATCAGGCTAGAGATTATGCAAGTGGCGGATGTGTCTGGAAAAACTTGGGCAAGCTGGTAATGATGACATTTTAACAAGGCAGCTTCATTCCGAGAGGGGACTGGTGGATAGAAAAACAACATTTACGATCTCGACATTCTTTTGCATTTGCAGGCCAGCTTGGACCTGCGGCAGGGGTTGGTCTTGTTTCTGGAAAGATGAGGAAACCTAAGGTGTTCGTGACTGAGGGGAAAGATGCTGCTCTTACTGGGATGTGTGTGTTCTTCATCAGGTCTGACCCTTCCAAAGCCATCACAGCCGAGAACATCCACCGGGTAGGGGATCACCCCAGTTTACATAAACTGCACATAAAGAATCCTTCCTCATGGACACTATGGTGTTTGGTATGGGAGTACAAAACTACTTTCAAAGCACTGGAAAAAAGTAGGATTTTTGTTGTTGTTGTTGTTGGTTGCAGGGCTTGAACTCAGGGCTCTGTCCCTGAGCTCTTTTGCTCAAAAACTTGTAGTTTTTGAGGTATTAATTGGAGGTAGGACTCTCATGGAGACTTCTCTGTCTGGATGGCTTTGAACTGTGATCCTCAGATCTTAGCCTCCCGAGTAGCTAGGATTATAGGCATAAGCCACCAGTGACTGGTGAAAAAAAAAGTAGTGTTAGTTGGGTGTTGGTGGTTCATTCCTGTAATCCTAGCTACTCAGGATCGTGGTTCAAAGCCAGCCTGGGCACGAAAGTCTGTGAGACTCCTATCTCCAATAAACTGCTCAGGAAACCTGAAGTGGTGCTGTGGCTCCAGTGCTGGAGCGCTAGCCCTGAGCTGAAGAGCTGAGGGACAGCGTCCAGGCCCAGAGTTCAAGCCTCATGACCGACAAAAAAAAAAAAAGTAATTTTTAAAGCATTTAAAACAAACCATTAATAAGATATATCCTTTAAATCTTTTGATAAAGAGGGTCCTAAATATCACATGATTTAGTATATTATCAAATTGAGCTAAAATTATTTCTATGGGAACAGTGACAGTTTGCCTTTTGAAAAATATTTCCTATATATCATTTTCCCGAATGACAAGTTTCATGCACTTACAATAAGATTTCAAATAGTGGACCTCTAACTTTATTTTGTATACAAAATGCACAGTTCAAGCATCCCCCTGTCCCCTAATGGGTGCATTCTTAAAGCAAATACACTAGACAGCACCTTCGGTGATATGTTTTCTGTTTTATTTATTTCATCCTTTTATTTTGATGATTATAGTTTAGGATGGTATAAAGCTTATTTTCTCAACCAGTGTATGACAATAATTTCTTGGGTAAGTTCACTGGATATTTGATTTAATAACAACATTTGGAAATGACTATATGGCTAAGTTGTCACTGAGGGTAGTTTTTACTCAAAACATTCTCCCAATTGTCTCCCAGGAGGTGAGCTTCAATGTGTTAGATACAGCAGATGGTGGCCTGCTAAACACTGTGAGACGCTTGCTCTCTGATGTCTTCATTCCTGCACTCAGGGCCTCAAGCCATGGCTGGGGTGAGCTAGAGAGTCTTCAAGATGCATCAAGCATTCGACAGGACTTCCTGAGCTCTCTGGAAGGTTTTGTGGGCATCCTGTCAGGTGCACAGGAGAGTTTGAAAGAGAAGGTAAGAAAGGATGAGTAATTCCTGTAAAATGACCAGATTGTCAATGAGATAATATCTGAGCGGGTGATATTTCTTATACATGGTCTTCATTCCACCATGCTGGAAAATCTTCAACAATGTTGTAGGCAATGTTCTTGGCTCCCAGGATGTGGTGGTTTACAATGATTAATGATTTCAGGGGCTCCATAGAAATGTTGGCAGTGCTGTTGGATTTTATGCATCAGAAGTTTGGCAGCGAAGACAGGAGTATGAAATACTGTGACACTGATGAGTGAGTTTGGATTCAGAGTGGCATGTGTGTGAACATGTGTGTGTGGGGGGTGGGTGGGTGTGTACATGAGATAGGTAGTGGGTAGAAAATAGAGTGGAGTGCTCGAAGAAGGAAAAAAGAACTGCTATGTCTGGAGAGGACAGGTTGGCTCCAGAGGTGCAGCCAATGCCTTTAAGAATAAGCATGTTGAATGTGAGAATTATCTTCTGGACGGTGTGGGCTTACTGAGCACATCGATGCTTATGTGTGTGTCTGGAAGTGGTGAGGGAGAGAGGAGATGAGCCAACACCTGGAAGGTGAAAGGTCAGGTTAGGCACAGGTAAGGGAGGGGAGGAATGGGGGGAGGGTTCTATGGTAACCATGGCAACATAGCTGTTCCCTTCCTTTTTAGACAATGCTGATCCAATTAGAGTATCGAGAGGAGATAGTCTACTTACCAAAGCATGAATAATAGGGGTAGGACAACTACAGCTAATGGTGCACTGTTTTTATAGTTAACTGTACCATGAAAGACAAAATGGCAGGTTGGACTAGATGGAACTGTTGACATTCCATCCCCCAAAGTAGTGGTAAGGCTTGCAAATGTTTCCACTTCATATAGTAGTAGGAGTATTCAAAAAGCTGGATGGTCTCCTCTTCTGTACCCCGTAGGAAGAGTCATTCTCTCTGGGCCAGAGGTGTCTGTGGGCTTCAGATCAGCTCCTGATGGCATGGTGTCCTATGGGAGTGCTGGAAAACCCTTCTAGCTGGAAGGCTGGGGGTAGGCCAGCACCTACATGGGAGTGGGTCCTGCACAAGAATGCAACACTGAGCAAGGGGGTTAGTTCCGGTGTCTAAGGTCCATCAGTGTGCACAGGACAGATGTACAGCCTGGCACTGAAGGTATGCAGAAGCAGCACATCCAGTCAGGAGTGGGCTTGGGAGTCAGGAGCTGGGACCATAAGAAGTCAGGCCAGTCAGAGCTAAATACAAAGGCTTATGAAAGAAATGGGAAGAAATAAGGAAGACTTCCAATTAGGCATTCCTGTGACAGACCCTGAGGGTGAGACCACTGTGGCTACCTTCCCATTTTCTACTCTGATTTTCCAGAAGTAGGACCTGAGCTTCATGAAGTGACTCCATGGAGTTTGACACTGATAAATCACTGTAGTCTTTCCTGCTGATTTTGAATGTGTTGAGATTCACATCCAAGCTGGACTGGGCCCTGAGCTGCATTCAGAGTCACATGAGTTGTCAGGATCACTTTTTCCCATAGAAAGATTGTTGAAATCAAAGAGAGGTCCGTCTTGTGATTTGGTGTATTATATACAGGGGTCTTGTTCTCTCACAGGTCTAAGAAAGAATAAGTTACAGATTGAGAACTATGTGCTTCCACCATGCTGTCCATTCCATTTGCTTTGGTTTTTATAGCTTGTTGAATAATTTCCAAGTTCTTACTTTCCTTCCTCTTTCTCTCCCTTTCTCTCTCTCTCTATTTCTTTTCTTCTTTCTCTCTCTCTCATTCTAATTTTAGATCCCAAATTTGACTTGAGAATTAGTCTTTTGTAGTACTATATATTGGGCCTTGTGCTTCAAATAATCTTTGCAGAGGGAGAAGATAGCATAGAGCAGAGGATATCTGTGGACCTAAGCATTCATCAGAAATTGTGTGTGCTTTTAATAACAAAAAGCATCATATTAATATTATTCAGTCTTCACTTTAGGTGAACCTTCAAAAGTGTGATATATTTGAACTGAAAGCCCTGAAGGGACCTATGGACTACTTGGCTCTAGCGAGCAACCCGGAGACTTTGGAAAAAGTAGAGGGCTGTATGAAAGTGTGGATCAAGGAGACAGAGCAGGTAATTTCCGGAAACTGATTTCAGATATCACATTATGGAACTAGTCAGAGGAGGCCATCTATTATGATGATCCCACTGACGACAATCTGACTGAGTGTACTTAAAAAGAAGAGAGGTTCAATATGGCTTTTGCCTGTGGTGAAGAAGGGTGAGAGGTTGGGAGGGACGAGGGCTGCCCTGATCAAGATGCACTGTATTCATATATACCTTGTTGAGTGACAACTCCTTTGTACAACTACTTAAAGATGAAGATACAATTAAAAAATAAATTAAAAAAGTAAGAAGTCTGAGATTCCTGAGATGAAATCAGATGGATTTACGTACTTGAAAAACTGGAAGACTACACTTTGCACAACTTTTTGGAGAAATTCCCAATCAAAACAGGAAGAGTTTTCTAATTCATTGTGTTGTCCAAATGAGAACTTGATCTTTAAATCTTTTGGAAAGTCTTTTTTAAAAAAATTAATTAATTAATTTTTTAAATTGTGAGAATACTGTACAGAGGGGTTACAATTACATGGGCAAGATAATGAGTACATTTCTTATCAAGCATTGTTGCCTCCTCTTTGTTTCCCCTTCCCATCCCTTCCCATACTCCCCCTCTCCCTCCAACCGGTCCTCCCCCCCCACCAAAGTTGTAAAGTTCGTTTTTCGACATAACGACTGTACATCTCATTGTTGCAATGGGTCCACCTGTATCCTTAGTTAAATGATTTGTTTTTTCCCTTCCCTTCCACAAATTATACCAATATAAAATACAGTGAAAGCAGGGGTTATACTGTGGGGGAGGGACATATAAAGCAACATAGAAATCATCTTATAAGTATGTTAGAAACAAAGAAAAAAAAACAAAAAACATTTGAATACTTATCTTGGGGTTCATTTTCCTAACACCTGGAAAAATCTTAAAGGAAGCTGATGTAAGGTTTTAGGTAAGAATAGACCACGCAGAGAGGAATAAAAAGATTGACAGGAAAGTTTATTGGGGTACGCTCCCGGGCAAACTCCCTGGTTGGGATCAGAGAGGTTAGGCTGAGTTTGGTTGTAGCAGAGCTTTTATAGGCGGGGTAAAAGCAGAACTTGTAGTGGGTGGGGACTTGTAGCACATAGCTTGTTTTGCCCGTTTAATCGGTTTCAGGCCAGTGCACTTGAAGAATGGTTGACTCAGATGTTGTTTTTGATAGGACGTGGTCCTTCTGGCAGCAGCCTGTTTTCCCCCGTGACCTGATATTTTTCCCTGTTGCCTACTTCCTCCAGTGGTCTGACACTGACCATTATAGAAAGAAGAAGCATCATTAAAATTAACCTGTTCAGTTATGGGATTTTCCAAAGGTGTATTGCTCTAAAGCGATAGAGCAAAATGAAAGGTGATGAAGGTTCCTGAATCCAGGCCTTCTAGAGTCTCTGTCAAATGCATTTAATAAGCAGGGTTTAGTTAGTACAAGTGAATTCATCTTTTATTGAAGTTGTACAAAAATGGGTGCATGTAGACATGGAAAGAAGTCATCGTTTGAAGCGTGCAACTAACCCAATTTAAAAAAAAGTATTGTGATTTTGGTAGCGTGATTTATTTCTATGGGCTTTCACTCATGTCTAACTTTCATTCCTCCCTCATGCAATTCTTCATGTTCTTCTCGTGCATTGGTAGGTCCTTGCAGAAAACAACCAGCTGCGGAAGGAAGCTGATGATGTTGGACCCCGGGCAGAGTTAGAGCACTGGAAAAAAAGGCTTTCCAAATTCCACTATCTTTTGGATCAGCTGAAAGGCCCAGATGTGAAGGCTGTGCTGGCTGTGCTGGCTGCGGCCAAGTCAAAACTTCTCAAGGTTCTCGGCCATTTTGTGCCTTATAACAGGAGAGGGAGACTTCTACGTCCATAATTGCATGGAGTAATTAGGGAGAGTATTATTATATCAGTGTGAAAGGTCTTTCCAGATTGGGTAATGTTGCCCTTATGTAAATTTGAATACTATGGAAATAATCTGTAGATATTTGGGGGCTTGTACATATGTGTTTGTGTATTATAGAGGCCATTATGTAAAATTAAGCTACAATGATAATAAAATGACACCCACATGCACACACACATATAATGAATTCAGACCAGTGAAGTGTAATAAAGATGAAAACTTACCTGTTAAATTTTTTTGGTCCTGCTGTATTAGTTTTTATGGTAAAACAATTATTGCAAAACTTAACAACTGAAAACAGCAAATCTGTTTCCTTGTGTGTGTGTGTGTGTGGGCAAGCGAGTGATTCTCAACCTTTGGGTTCAGTTTTGTGCAGCTTGCACAAAACAAATGTAAAGTCTGACGTAAAGGACTTGCAGTGGCCCTTAGTTGGTCTTATGTTGGAGATTTTCTGTGAGGGGCAACATTAAGACTGCTTTCTTGTATTGTGCTTAGACTTGGAGAGAGACGGATATTCGAATCACTGATGCAGCCAACGAGGCAAAAGACAATGTCAAGTATTTGTACACACTTGAAAAATGTTGTGATCCCTTGTACAACAGTGATCCTGTGAGTTTGTTTCTCCTCCTTTAGTCTACCAACAACCCTTTCCACACCAACTAACTTAAATGCTGAGCTTTGGTTCCTAGATATTACCGTTGTGGGAAAAGTTTTAGAAAAATTTCATTTCAAGACCTTACATTCATGTATATTATGTCTGTCTCATCTATCTATCTATCTATCTATCTATCTATCTATCTGTCTGTCTGTCTGTCTGTCTGTCTGTCTGTCTGTCTGTCTGTCTGTCTGTCTGTCTGTCTATCTCTCTCTCTCTATTATCTATCAACTATTGAAGCTTTAAAATGTCTTATATTAAAATTTTATTGCATATTAATTATATTTTTGTATTAAATGTTCCAGTTGACATTCTGGATTACACTTTATAATACTGGCTGGCATTTAAAAATTATCTTCTAATTCATAAAAAAGTGTCTGTTATTCTTTATCACAAAACCAATGGTTAACATAACCTCCTTGTCATTATCAGCAAGTTCATGCTTCTTGTATGGAAATAGAACTTGATTATATATATGTACATACACACACACACACACATACGCAAACATATACACACATAAAATAATAAAAGTAAACTTTTTGTTAAATATATTCATATCAGGTATTAAGTACCTAGAATTAAGCTTCACTTAGGCTAAGAAGATGGAGTGATAAGGTTTTATAATTAGAATTTTGCTAAACTGGTACTTTTTTCCTGAAAACTTTTGTGATGCCTTCCAGATATCCATGATTGATGCTATTCCTATACTTATAAATGCTATTAAAATGATCTACAGTATCTCTCACTACTATAACACCTCTGAGAAGATCACATCTCTGTTTGTAAAGGTAAGCATGGAGTGGAGACTTGATGGATGGCCACATATTTGTCTGTCAACAGTCAATTAAAAATGACCGTATCTTATGGGCTGGGAAGGTGGCTCATTGGTAGAGCACTTGCCTTGCATGCCTGAGGCCCTGGGTTTGATTCCTCAGCACCACATAAGCAAAAAGAAAAAAGCCAGAAGGGGCGCTGTGGTTCAAGTGGTAGAGCGCTAGCCTTGAGCTGAAGAGCTGAGGGATAGCGCCCAGGCCCAGAGGTTCAGGCCCCATGACCGGACCCCCCTACCCCCAAAAATTACCATATCTTGGCCTAATCCAATGTCTATGTATGTGGGTATATATATATCATATATATCAGTATATATGACATATAATTACATATATTACATGTCATATATACTCATATATGTAATATATATTTATATATACATATATAATACACACACATACACATATATATGGTGGTCATACTGGGTTTGAACTCATGGTCTCACACTTGTTAAACAAGCCCTCTATCATGTAAGCTACCGTACTAGCTTGCATCTTATAAATTAAGAAGAACTTAGTCCATCAGTAGAGATAGATTAAATTTATGTGAGAAGTGAATTCTGGCACAGAAAGCATTATTTCCCAAAGTAATTACTATAATAAATATTTTGTTATTTGTATCATAAAAGCAAAATAAGATTCTTTTGGAGATTTCTTGCCCTGTGTGATTTAGCATATCATTTTTTTCTTCTAGTGGACAAAATTTAATTAAGGAAAACTATATTTAATTGGCTCTCTCCTGTTTCGTATTTTATATGCCACTGTTCCACATTTATTTGATGCCACAGTTGTTTACTTGGTGGTATGAGGAGAGTCCTAAAAGCCACTTACAATGTTTCAGTAATCTGTAAAGTGAGTAGAATGGTTCTGCCCAAACCATAATGATGCTTAAACCTTATGTCCGAATGCGGAAGTGTCTATGATGAGGCCTTTAGAACAGCCTCTAAGAAATCAATGACTTCCCTTCATATTCAGGGCACACATGTTCATTTTTTTAAGTTAATTTTTTTTGTAAGGGTGATGTCAGGGGTTACAGTTGCATAATAAGGTAATGAATATATTTCTTGGGCAGACAGTCTCAATGCTATTTTAAAATAGAAGAAGTTGTGACTTACCCATGCTTTACATTCTCAGTGTGAGGCAGGAAGAGAGACTCTATTCCCTGGGAATAGAGACTCAGGCCTGGGAGCCCCCCAGAAGTCCTCCTTCTGCTTTAGCACAGGGAGCGGGGCAGCATTCTTTCTCTGCATCTTTGTGCTGGAAAGCTGTATGCTAGTGTCATAGGGGTCAGCCTTTGGCTAAGAGAGCCCAAAGTCTATCTACATTGTTCATCTAGATTGTGTGCATATTGTTTGCAAAGACTTCATTTTTAGAAAAAAAAAATATGATCAGACTCCCCTTCTCCCCAGTCATTTGAATCAGAAGTTTCGTTCCAGTGGAGGATCCTGTTCAACCATGCTCTCGCTCGTAATCCTGAACACCCACCCCGTGTCACCCCACGCACCCCGTGAGGACATTGAGTCTGCATTTGTTTTATGAAAAGAGCAATCAAGAAGCTCTAAGTAGGATTTTTGTTTTGTTTTTTCAAGTTTGGAGGGTTGAATAGAGTCTCGGTGTTTTCAAGTGTTAGCTTTATTCACCCTTTTGGGATCCTCTTGTGACATTTCACTGCACGCTGTGGCTCCATGCTGTATCAGGTGGCCTGCACTTTGCATGGCGCTCGTCAACTGTGTGCAGGTGTTAGAGCAGGTCAGCTGAGCGGATCAGGCAAACTCTCACTAGGGAAGTGAATTCTCTGGTTGGCTAAAACTTCATTCTGCATAAACAAGGTGGTTCCACGGTTGGTTTTCTGGAGTGCTTCCAATCCTGATTTCAAAGGATTTACACAGTATTAAAGGGTCAGTGCTAGATCACAATTGAGAGGGGAAAATAAACCCAAAGCTCAATCTCTGAGTAGTAGAGTTGATGACTCAACTTTGATTTATAAGCCCCAGCTGTTATATGTACCTAACATTATTTTATTGGAAAATTTCAGGTGACAAATCAGATGATATCTGCATGCAAAGCCTATATCACCAACAGCGGAACCGCCTCTATCTGGAACCAGCCGCAGGATGTCGTGATGGAAAAAATATTATCTGCCATTAAACTTAAGCAGGTAATAGTTAGATTAGTAACATATTGAGATGTTTGTTATTTTTGAGGTCCTCTTATTGAGCAATTATATCATTGGTTGCTAAAAAAGAAGAATAAGTCATTACTGTGAAGAAAATGGAATGGTAAAAACTTTCTCAGAAATGTATTTCACTTATTCTACTTTTGTTGGGACCCTCCTGTACCACACCAAGTTCTGGAGACACAAAGATGATTAAGGGAAGATGGGTTTCTTCGAGCATCTTAGAGACCAATGGGGAGATAGACCCAGAGTGATGACCTTACAGCCTGTTTTGAGTAGCACCATTAGTAATGCAGTGTCTAAAAGCTCAGAAGATGAGAAAAGATGACATTTCAGATGGATAGATAAACATGAAGGTACAAAACTGAAGAGTTAGTTATCTTCATCCTAACTTTGTAGTTGTCTGCACTTTAGGAAATGCAGTGATTTTAGTAGCTTTAAGTTCCTTTCTGTTCTTGGTTGTGGGAATTGAACCTAGGGTGGTAAATATGCTAAGTCCTCTCTACCCAGCCATACCCCAACATGGTATGTTTCCTTTCTCATTCTTGACTTTTAATTTGTAGGAATATCAACACTGCTTTCACCAGACAAAACAGAAGCTTAAACAAAATCCAAGTGAAAAGCAATTTGAATTTAGTGAGATGTATATTTTTGGAAAATTTGAAACTTTTCACCGACGTCTATCCAAGATAATGGACATCTTTAAAACCTTCAAGACATACTCTGTCCTTCAAGAGTCTAAAATCGAAGGGCTGGATGGCTTGATAATTAAATTCCAGGTATTATGTGCTACTCTTGTCCATAACTAAACCGTAATATTTTATGTAAACTGGCATTTAGGATGATTCAGATCATCAGTCTACAATACAAAAGACAATCTCCTGGTCCTTTAGTAATAAGGAAATTATATTTGCATAATAGTCTTAATATGTTATTTTCAGATATGTGGTTATAACAATAACGTGCCAATAGTTTAAAATTAAATGCCACTAGGACAAGGCATTCTCATTATTAGCACAAGGACCCAACCTATGTAAATAGAGCTTATATTTCATTTATTCACACAAGAGCTGTTTAATGAAGAACATGTGTTGCACATTATTTGATGCCTACTTTTGTGTGACATTCAATTATCTGAGTGTTTAGTCATTTTGACACATTCTAAAAATATGAAGTAACAGATTTTATTGTAACTCTAAAAATTTCAATTATTTCAAGTATTTTTCTCCTTTGTCCTGTGAGGGCATCTGTGGAATGAATCTCAGCTTTAAAAGTGGATTCAATGAGCTAAAGCCATTTTGAAGACCTTTTATTTTCTGGTCCTGGGGCTTGAACTCAGGGCCTGGGTAAAGTCCATGAGCTTTTATGTGCTTAAGGTTGGCAATATATCACGTCGAGCCACAGCACCACTTCTGGCCTTTTTGGAGTAGTTTATTGGAGCTAAGAATCTCAGGGACTTTCCTGCTCAGGGTGGCTTCCAGCTGTGATCTTCAGATCCCAGCCTGCTTTGTAGTTAAAATTACAAGCATGAGCGCTGGTGCCTGGCTCATTTTGAAGATTTTGAAAGGATAAGTTTATAAACTGTGTTGGAGTTCTTAATATGAGTATTGTCAACTTATTCTTGTTTAGGGACAGTAATATGAATAGTTAAAAGATTCTTTTTCTTCTTGAATTTGAAAAATTTCTTACAATTTTCCACCACACATTACCTTTTTTTTTTTTTTAACTGTAACAGTTTAGGCCAATGTAAGGGATCTTTAATTCCTTGATTATATCAGGTTTTATGAAAGAGTTGTATTTACATAAAGTTTGTAGGTGTCATTTACAAGGTGAAGAATCTGCTTCGAAAGTGTTTTTAGACAAAGACAGAATGGATTTTTTTTTTCATTTTAGAATCATGAATTATTTTCTATTTTTCATGAAAAAAAGACTTGGAGCACATTTCAAAACACATTTTTGAGTGAAAAGTTGAATTGTACATCTAAACGCAGATAAAAAGACTCTTCCAAACTGTTAAAAAATACTGGAAAGCTGCCTTAAAAATTTAAAGTAAAATAATGATTAAAATGGATATGCCAAATGGAGATAAGATGTAGCTGGTTTCTAAAAGCATGATGTGAAGATTTCTGTGTCAATGCTAGTGTAAGAAAGTCAAAATGACACCAGGGGATCGAATCTTACATTGTTAGCTGCACCGCTCCCTCCTTCTTCTTCCCTTTCCTCCTCCTCCTCCTTCCTTTCCCCACCTCCTCCCTCTCTCCTCTCTCCTCCTCCTTCCTCTTCCCCATCCGAACTTTCGGTCCACTCCTCACTCCAGTCTGGGAAGTTCTGCCTCTAGATTACCATGTTGGTTTCCGCCCCCTATTTGGCCTATAGAAGACTCCATTCAGAAAAGTTACACAGTTGTGCAGTTTTGTCAATTGAAAAAATTGAACTGATGTTCCAGTAGAAGTGACTTTAGAAAGGAGATAGTGGATGGAGGCTCAGTCTTCTTTTTACAAATTCTGTGCATGTATCAACCGGGCAGATGCCTGAGTGTGCGAAAGGCCTAGTACCCGGCTAGGAACCAACATAGAGCATTTCAGTACATTATTGAGAGCAAACCAAACGTATGAGAGTAGTGTCTTCAAGGAGATGAATTGCCTAATTTTTGCCTCTCTCCTCAGTGTATATTTGTCAGGACAACAGGAAGCAACTAATTCTAGAGAGTTTTGAAGTGGTAGATTATGCTTTGACATTTCATTAAAACATTTGAGGCTTAGAAGGGAGTATCTCATTTGTAGATATTATGATGTAATTATTCTCTTCCTGTGTTGGTTGGTGTTTTTTTAAAGCCTTATTTATTTTCTGAGATGATTTAAACTCTTCGGCAAAAAGTATCTTAATCAGTTCTACTCAAGGATTCTTTTTAAATGATTTCAGATGCGAAAAACTTTTGAGGGAAAAAACCTCTCCTATACACAGATGTGGCCCTTATTATACATATATCTACTTTCAAAAATGCAAAGTATTTCCAAATGATTTGGATCTAGTATGTGATATTATACTGCCAAGAACATAATTAGGCAGAACAAAGTAAGAACTGAAAAAATAAGACTATTTATTTATCTTTTTGTTGTTGTTGTTGGTCATGCGGCTTGAACGCTGGGCTTGTGTACTGTTCCTCAGCTCTTCAGCTCAAGGCCAGCACTCTACCACTTGAGCCACAGTGCCACTTCCAGTTTTCTGGTGGTTTATTGGAGATAAGCATTTCATGGACTTTCCTGCCCCTACTGGCTTTGAACTTCAATCCTCAGATCTCAGCCTATTGAGTAGCTAGGATTACAGGTGTGAGCCACTGGCATCTGGTTTTTTTATCATTTTTATTTGAATTTTTATTTTATTTTTTTCTTTTTTGGTCAGTCGTGCGGCTTGAACTCTGGGCCTAGACACTGTCCCTGAGCTCTTCAGCTCAAGGCTAGCACTCTACCACTTGAGCCACAGCACCACTTGCAGCTTTTTCTGTTAACGTGGTGCTGAGGAATCAAACCCAGGGCCTCATGCATGCTAGGCAAGCACTCTACCACTGAGCCACCTTCCCAGCAAATTTTTATCTTTAAGTAGTTGTACAAATGAGTTTCCATTCCACAAAATAGCATATGAATACAATACATCTTGATCAATGTCACCTATTTCATTTTAAGCTATTTGGGGGGGAGATGATGATATATTTTCTGTGTTTAAAGGTCAAGAATATTGAGATAATACCTTATTTCTTTCACCTTTCAGGACATTGTTGCAACCATAAAGAGAAAGGAATATAATTTCTTAGACCAGCGGAAAATGGATTTTGATCAGGATTATGATGACTTTTGCAAGCAGATTAGTGACCTTCATGTAGGTTGTATAATGAAATTCTTGCGGACAATGGCATGTTTATTTTCTTTTCCTCTGTGTAATTCTTTCTACTAATGACATTGTTCAGAAGGGGAGTCATCTTTATTGCAGAGGTGATGGACCACAACTTGGATGCATTTTCTTTTTTCTTTTAAAATTATTTTTAGGTAGTTGTACAACGGAGTTGCCATTCAACAAAACAGTTTATGAATACAATACATCTTGAACAGCGTCACCCCTTTTCATATTCTCACCCACCCCTCCCCTCCCCATTCTGTTCCTCACTCTTCTTAATTTTATAGGATATACACTAGATTCTTTACTATATCTTCTGCCTCTTCTCCTAGCCGTTCATCTACTCCTTTCCTTGTGACCCCTCTCCACCCCTTTTGAGTACCTGCTTCCTGGTGTTTTATTTTGCTGAGCTTTGAGTTTTGCCTTTCAAAGGATTTACACTATTTGAGATCTTCCTTGAATCTACTGTATTTCAGATGCGCGCTGGAGGGCTATTTATTTATTTATCTTGTTGATCAGGGGCTTGAACTCTGGGCCTGGGCACCGTCCCTCAGCTCTTTTGCTAAAGGCTAGTATTCTCCCACTTTGAGCCACAGTGCCTCTTTTGGTGTTCTGGTAGTTAATTGGAGATAAGAATCTCATGGACTTCTCTGTCAGGACTGGCTTTGAACTGTGATCCTCAGATCTCAGCTTCCTGAGTAGCTAGGATTACAGGCCTGAGCCACCAGCACCTGGCTATTTATTCATTTATTTATTCATTTTTTTCATGAATTAAAGGGCCAGGGATACAGCTTGGGTAATAATAATAATCTGTAATTATAGATGTCTGTATGTGGTCTATGGTCTATTTTAGTTTTTTTTTTTTTTTTTTTGCTGGTCATGGGGCTTCAACTCTGGTCCTGGACACTGTTCCTCAGCTCTTCAGCTCAAGGCTAATGCTCTACCACTTGAGCTACAGCGCCACTTCCAGCTTTTTCTGCTTATGTGGTGCTGAGGAATCAAACCCAGGGCCTCATGCATGCAAAGCAAGTATTCTACCGTTGAGCCACCTTCCCAGCCCTTATTTTAGTTCTTAAGAGAGTTAAGTTTCCTCTTTTGTTGAAACAGTTTCTGTTGGTTACTTCAGAGTTATGATTACAATCAGAGGTTAGCCTGAGCAGACTACCAGGCAGTCTGACATGTGGATTCCAGAGACAGGGCTGCAGCTTGGAAACCTTAGGAACAGGGGGTATCAGGACATCTTTTGGTTCTGATGTTCCTTTGTTCCCAGCTCACTGTAGCCCAGCCATCCTGAGCACTGTGAGCGCTATCAGCTCCTGAGATCAGAGCACAGAATGAACCCCAGCTCCAGCTCCCTGGGGAAGGGTTTGGGCTGTCTGGTTCTAATGTGGTGCATAGTCTGGAACCGACCATCTGCAGGATCTTAAGGAAATGTTTGTTATTAAGATGGGGAACCAGAGAACTTGATTTTTAAGCATTAACTACATAAGATGGGAAGTCAAGTTGACAGATGTGTTACAAAATTAATATGCAGAAGTCTTTTCATCTCAGAGAGGTGCAAGTAGACATCGCTCAATTATGAGAGGAAAACAGGCATTCTGTTACTATTGTCTCTGAATTTTTAGTGTGTGTGAGCTAAATAAGTACACATCAAGTCAAACTGAGTTGTAAGTTATCTCTGGAGGAGTGAGTGCAAAGCAGAAGGAATTCTAACAAAGATAGATACTTCTATGTTCCAGGCACATCAGGGGGAGTTCTTATTACTCTTCTTTTACAGAGCAGTAACGAGGCTCAATGAAAAGTCACCTGCCCAAAGTCTCAGAGATGACAGGTGGTAGAGTTAGGGCCAAACACAGGCTGTGTGGCTTGAGAGTGCCAGTTCTGGACCACCACATCCTGCTCCACATCTCACTGATGGCAAGAGGCAGTGGGTTCTGATCTCAAGCTGTTGAACATGGACACACGGTTGTAGATCTGCACTCTGTTTTCTACAGTCCGTTTGTCAAATCTCTGCCAGCATTACCTTAGGGTCTTCAGCTCATGGGAGGCATTGGTGGCTTGCATGTGGAATGTTGTTAGATGGTGAGCTCCTTGAGGACAGGAATTGTATTTTCTTATTTCCTAATATGAAGGTGAAGATTTTATTGTTAAGTATATTTACTTATAGTGCTGTATTAGAATTCCTGGCTGTGGGTTATGGATACAGAAAGATGTGTGCCCTTGAAGTCACTTTGCCCTTGAAACTCATCTTCAGATAGAAAATGGTGACGTGACTGAAGTGGGAGCCGTTGTTATCTGTAGCTGCTCTCCCACTACTAGGGTAGAGACAAACAACTGGGGAAGAGAACTGTCACTCAAAAAGCTCACAGTCTTTACTATTTGGTCCTTCATAGAGACCCTGTTGTAGGGTAGATTCCCCTGTCCCCATTTATGGCTGGGCAGGTGGCAAGCCTCATGAAGTTTTCCAGACTCTTCAACAGTCATCCGGTCCCCTTTGCAAACCCAGAGCATCACTTCATGGAGGCCAGCCTTCTCCAAAATTTGCTGAGCGCATAAGGACCTCTCAGCGTTCTCCTGCTGTCAGATGCAGAGGTCCCAGGCCTGCATCCATGATTAGATCTGACGCTATGCATATGGAGCCTGCCACACTGGCACTTCTACCACTCCTTGGCTTTCAAGTGCCATTTATTTCCTGCTCCAGGCATTTCTTTTTCTGTTAAGCTCATTAATGTTTGATGTTGTAGTTTTCTCACCATTTGATATGTTCTTACAGAATGAAGAGCTCTTTCTTCTTATTATGGAGTAGAAAATTTCTAGTGTTTTCAGGCTTGTTGGTACAGACCTGTAATTCCTGCACTTGGAAAGATCATGAGTTCAAAGCCACATGGGTACAAACGCGTGTTTCCAAACAAACAAACAACAAAGCAACAAAAACAAATGAACAGTGAAAACTCAAACAAAAAAGAGAATTGGAAATGTTAACTTGTTGCTGACAACCCGGTTTTATTCTGTTTCAGAATGAGTTACAGAAGTTCATGGATGTTACATTTGAAAAGATTCAAAACACCAATCAAGCTCTAAGCATGTTGAAAAAATTTGAAAGGTAAAAAAATTGAAATATTTCCCCAAGTTCCATTTTTAATATGGACATAGTCTACCTTTCCTTATCATTGCTGTTATTAGAATTTTGTACTCAAATGGAAAGAAAAGTCTCATTCTTAAATTTTTTAAAAGACTAAGGAGGATTAATTCTACGGAGGATTAAGGATTTGCTTTATTTTTGCAAATGGAGAATACTCTTAGCTTTGAAGTACTTTGTGGCTGCCTGCACTAATATTGTCTAATGTTTAAATAAATTGAAAAAAATTCCCACATTCTAAGGACAGATTTTATTTTGATTCTTTTTTTTTTTTTTTTCCTATTGGTCATGGCCTTGAACACATGGCCTGGGTGCTATCACTTAGCTTTTTTGTTCAAGGCTAGCACTCTACCATTTTGGGCCACTGAGGTGGTTAATTGGAGTCAAGAGTCTCATCGACTTTCCTGCCCAGACTGGCTTTGAACCAGGATCCTCAGATCTCAACCTCCTGAGGTTCTACGATTATCGGTGTGAGGCACCAGTGACTGGCTTATTGTGATTCTTTCAATACACTGTACAGCGGTCACCTTTTTTTTTTCATTAACATATGTTTAAAAGTAAATGCTAATGAATTAGATTAGTGAATAGCATACCATTAACCCAGGCCTTTTTACTTTGCTGTGTTTAATCAGCTTGAATATTCCTAACCTTGGAATCGATGACAAATACCAACTGATCCTGGAAAATTATGGGGCTGACATTGATATGATTGCAAAACTGTATACAAAGCAGAAATGTGACCCTCCTCTGGCTCGAGACCAGCCTCCCATTGCTGGGAAAATCTTGTGGGCTCGCCAGCTCTTCCGTAGGATGGAGCGCCCCATGCAGCTGTTCCAGCAGCATCCATCCGTGCTGAGGACAGCCCAGGCCAAGCCCATCATCCGCATGTACAACAGGACAGCCAAGATCCTCCTGGAGTTTGAAGTCCTGTACCACAGGGCCTGGCTTCAACAGGTGAATGGATTTTTTTGAGGTGCCCTGGTCCAAATAATGGGAACCCATTTGACAGCAAAATTCCTGTGGAAAGCTGTATTTATGAGTAGTTTTGTAAATCACTTTGAATTTAAGTAATCTAAGAGTTGTATTTCTTGAAGAAAATAATGATTAGTGTTGAGAAGCAATCATACACCTGGTGACAAACCTAGTTTTACTTAATTAAAAAACCTCTCAGTATACCAGGTAGCTCACATGTATAATCTTAGATACCCACGAGGCTGAGATCTGAGGATTGCAGTTGGAAGCCAGCTCAGGAAGGAAAGTCTGTGAGACTCTCATCTCCAATAAACTACCAAAAAGAACCAGAAGCAGAGCTGTGGCTCAAGTGGCAGAGCACTAGCCTTGAGCAAAAGAAGCTCAGGAACAGCTCCCAGACCCTGAGTTCAAGCCCCAGGACTGGCACATACACACAAACAAAACAAAACAAAACAAAATAGAAATAACTCCTAAGTGAAAAAAAAAATCTTTCATTGTTCTGGATCAGGTAATTTATATCTGTAATCCTAGCTACTCAGGACGTTGAGATTTTAGGATTGTGGTTCAAAACTAGCCCAGGAAGGAAAGTTCATGAGATTCTAATCTCCAAAATAATTAGCAAAAATCCAGAAGTGGAGCTGTGGCTCAGGCAGCAGAGTGCCAGCCTTGTGCAAAAATGCTAAGGGACAGTACCCAGGTCCTGAGTTCTGATGTGTGTGCACACGTGTGTCCCCTTTCCCCGTCCCTGCATACACACACATGCCTTGCATTCTTCATTTCTCCACCTTATTTGTTAGAATTTCTTTTTTTTGCCGGTCATGGGGCTTGAACTCTGGGTCTGGGTGCTGTCCCTCAGCTCTTCAGCTCAAGGCTAGCGTTCTACCACTGGAGCCACAGTGCCACTTCCAGCTTTTTCTGTTTATGTGGTGCTGAGGAATTGAACCCAGTGCCTCATGCTTGCAAGGCATGCACTCTACCGCTGAGCTACCTTCCCATCCCCTAGAATTTCTTTTTAAATTTAGTAAGATCTTGAGCAAGGCTCAGTAGTAGAGTGCTAAGCTAACAAGCATTAATTAGGCTCAGGGTTTGAGCTCCAGAACTGGAAAAATAAATCAATAAGATCCTGAATGCATTACTGAACACCAGTACTCTGTTAAACAAAATCATTTTCTTTGACTGAAATAGTGCTTAATCAAATTATACTCCCTGATAGCTATATTTCTTTGTAGACTGCAAGAAATGATGTCCTTGTAGTTGTATACATTGCATTTGTAGATAAGTGAAAGCAGTCAGAGAAACTTTTATTAGGAAAAATAACTGAGTATGTATAAAGGTATTATGGAGATTAAATGGGTCTTAGGAGGTCATTGCTATGGCTGTGTCCATTTACCTTTCATGTGAAGGGCACAGGAATGAATTTTGGTTTTATGAATTGTCTGTGCAACATCACTATCAAAAACCTGAAAGCTATTTTCAGATCAGGAATTTAGAAAAAGAGTGAGCAAGCCAAGTAATAATAATAATTATTATTATGTTTTGGTGTTGCTGATTGAACCTAGGGTGTTGAGCATACCGAGTAAGGGTTCTGCCATTTAGCTACGTTCCTGGCTTCCTGATTTTTCAGAAATGTCTGAGCCGTACACTGTGTCTTTATAAAACTTCTTGATAGTAACACTGTTGATTCCTCCCGACAGATTGAAGAAATTCACATCGGTCTCGAAGCTTCTTTATTGGTGAGGGTGCCAGGCACAGGGGAATTGTTTGTCAACTTTGATCCTCAGATACTAATCTTATTTCGAGAAACAGAGTGCATGTTACAGATGGGGCTGCCAATCTCACCGCTGGCGGCGTCCCTCTTCCAGAGGCGGGACACATACAAAAAGAACTTCAGTAACATGAAGGTATAGCACTTTCATCTTTTTCTCTTTCCCGATTAACTCTGGAGTTCATTTGAAAAGTTAGTGGTATATTGTATCAGCAGATCGAACGTGCTCAGCATGACTGGAGTGGGAAGGGGCCGGGCCAGGGACTAGGCTGCCCAGCTGGCTTGGGCCAGGCTGGTACAGATCTCACAGGCCAAGGTTTGAAAGTTGGGATTTAATCTTAGATTTCAGTGGAATTTAGTTTAATTGGAGGATGTTGTGCTAGCGAAAGACACATGACCTTGATGATAATAAAAGCCATCCCTGCTGCTCGGTGGGAAGTGGGTTTTAGGGGGAGGGTGAGTGGGAGGCCAGGTTGGGGACTATTATACCGGTCCAGGATGGAGATGATGGTGGCTTGAGGAGAAGGGCTGCAGAGTTATCCATAGACTCAGAGTTATGCCAACAGGCAGGTCAAGAGGAAACTCAAGGAGCATTGAAGTGGAGCCACCTTGCATTGTGAAGGTTGATTTCTGCAGGGGTCTTAGCTGTAACCTCCACTTGAGAAAATGGCCCAGGCTTGAACTAGTTTATTTTGAAAGTCAAGTGGGAAACGGTAATATTGCAGACACCCAGTTGAGATGCTATCCATGCAGTTTGATACGTGACTCTGCAGGTCAGCGGACCAGTCAAAGTCTGCGGAATGCAGTGATACTCATTCATTGTTCTGGATGAAAATTCTTAGGGAGTGAAAACAGAGAGAAGTAGAGGCTGTTGGGTTAAGCACATGGTTGCTCTAACATCAGAAGTATGAAAAACTCTAATATGCAAATAAAATCAATTATTGGACTTTGAGGTGAGATAGGCAAGAAAAGTATCACAAAGACTGGCGGCTAGTGACAAATGCCACTGCACCGAGATGAAATCGATGGTACAAAGATGAGATCGGACATAGAGTCCTGGTATTAGACATCATTTAAACTCATAGTCTAAATCATCTGATAAGGCCATGTACTTGCTTTACATTTTTTAAAAAGTGTGACATATTTAATTTAATTTTAATTTTATTGTCAAGGTGGTGTACAGAGCGGTCACAGTTACATAAGTAAGGTAGTGAGTGCATTTCTTCTTGAACTTGTTACCCCCCTCCCCCATTTTTCTCCTTCTTTCTCTCCCCCTTCACCCAAGTACACTGTTGGTGGGAGTGTAAACTTGTTCAACCACTTTGGAATAAGCATGGAGGTTCCTCAAAAGATTCCACATAGAGCTCCCCTATGACCCAGCATTCCCATTTGGGCATTTACCCAAATGATCACAAATAAGGCCATACTAAAGCTACCAGCACAACTAGGTTCATTGCTTTACATTTTAAATCATTTTCATGTTAATTAATTCTGTGTTGGATAGATAGAGCTGAATATGATAATGTTATTTTATAGATGAGAAAACTGTGGCTTTAAGAATTTAGTTTAGGTCTCATACGTAAGTGGCAGAATTAGAACCAGCCCCAGACTTGCAGTCTATTGTCTTCTTATTACTTCTGTTGTTAAAAAGCTAATATTGGCAACAGACAGACATTCCTCAAATGTGGACTCAGAAAGCAGTAGTCATTGTGTTGTGTGAATTGTTTTTGCATGTTAGGAAAATTGCTTAGTCGATCCACATTTTTACAAAGAAAAGTTTTTTTTCTTAAGGAATCATATTTATACAACTATAAAATCAGCAATGATAATTTTTTCCCACAAAGCTGTTATGTTAGTTCTCTGTTGCAGGAGACACACAGCTGCCAAATGTAGTGGCTTTTTTTGAAAACTAGGTGTTTTGATTAGAAGAGCTGGGAAAGTCTTAAGTGATGCGCTTAACGGAGATTGTGGCTTGGAACACCTTACAAGAACTTTACAGTGTGAAGGCCTTTGGCTGGGAGAATTCTTCACGTGGCCACTCAGGACTGAAGGTTCAGTGAACAAGGAGGCCACATGGCCTTAATGGCAGCCGGGCATGTCCCAAAGAATCCATTCTGTTGTATCCTGTCCGGCTTCATGAGCCCACCCAGATTCACGGGAGGATACACCCAGACTCTTGAAAGGAGTGGAACAAGGAATGTTTCAAATCCATCACAGCTGCAAATAGCAATTTGATGAAGCAGATTTTTATCTGGCTGACATCTTGAAAGAGTTAAAGGCTCCTGCTCAACACAGGCAGATGTGGAGAGCAGATGTACTGGCATGTTTTGGAGGAAGGGCATTTAAATTCCCCCAGAGTAGCAGGGTTTCCAGGCTTCTATCATTATTATGCTAACGTAGCTGAGAGTTTGTTTTCTGTAGCTCTTCCTTGGGAGACAGTGGAAACTAGAGAGATCAGTGGGCTAGGTGATGGCGAGGAGTATGGATTTCAAAACCAATTTTATGTGGAGTCAAAACCATTTCCTTGGGTAAATTACTTTGCCTCTAAGTTTCTGTTTCTCATTTGTGAAAAAGGATGAATAAAAGCTACTGGGGTTAAAGGATTAAAGGTGAGAAGTAGAAAGACTGCTGGAGGCAGACTCCATGAACCCTCTCTCAGATAGAATAAATGATGGATTTTGAGGAACAGGTGAGCAGGGGCTAAAAGCTTTTGGAAATGTATATGTAGCTATCAATAGATTCACCAAATTTAGACTTTTCTAAAGGGGCTTTTATGGAAATGGAAAGGGCGTTATAGAAATTGTAGAAAAGTATTATATGAAGAAAGGATTATGGAGCTCATTTCCGAAACATTAGGCTCCACGAAAGTCTCAAAATCTTTCTTAAATCTTTATGGCAGCTCTGTCAGGATCACCAGTATTAATTGTGACTGTCCAAGAGGGGAGATAATTGTCTATAGTATTGCTCAGAATTCTCCATTGAGGGATTTTTTTTTGTTATGGAATATCTTGGATTTAGTACTTCAAAGAAAATATTCTGAGAAACATTGATCGAGTATCAAAAGAAGTGCCACTAATTACGTTGTAAATATAGGTTTAAAAATATTTGTACTTTCCAAACCTATTAGAGTTCCTTCAAAGGTAGGCTAAAAGTACTATTAGGCTTATTTAAAAAAAATTGTAACCTGTGGATGAAATAGTGACATAATTCAACATCAGATAGCAGGGAAATTTCAAAGGAAAACCAAAATCACAACTTTCAACGCTCGCTCCTTTCTGATACCAGCCGATGTGTGGGTCAGACAAATACGCTGATTATCTCTATGTCCTAGCTGTTCTTTCAAGGACACTGAACAAAACAGATGGAATTCTTGTCCTTATGGAATTTATGTAGATACTCCTGGGTGGGGTTATGGGTTAGTTATCCCAGAATTTCTTTCTCATACCTGTGAAGCAAGACTGATAGGAACAACTTAGAAGACAGGAATGATTTTAGCTCATGATCTTAGATGTTTCAGGCACTGGGGCTGGCTCCATTGCTTCTGGAGCTGTGGTGAGGTAGGAAGTATGTGGAGGGGGCGGCTGTTTCGCTCATGATGGGAAGGAGGCAGGGACACCAACGCCAGAGAAGCTCCAGTGAAAATACAGCTCCAGCAGCTGACTTCTTCTGATTCAGCTCTACCTCACCACCTGACAATCTATTGAAATTTTGAATCCATCAATGAATTAAACCATTGGTTAATTTAGAGCCCTTGTAACCAATCCAATCAAATTGATAGTCAAAATGAGCCATCATGGGTTTATGTCTTCAACTCATTATAAGTTGAAAATATTTTCAGTTTAAAAATGCATTTTATAGTCCAACTTGCTGAACATCATGGTTGAGCCTATATTACCTAAAATGTGCCTAGAACACTTTCACTAGGATTCACGTGGACAAAATAATCTAACACTAAATCTATTTTAAAATAAAGCATTGAAATTCATGTAGTTAATTGGATGGTTTATATGTAGACAGAGAATATATATAAAAATATATTTAATTTATACTTATATAAACATATTTATATACTTATGAAATATATTTATTTCTATATTATATGTAATTTATTATATATTTTATATTATAATATATAATATTATATATATATATATATATATATATATATATATATCCAAAAACCACTGGCAATTTAGTTCACGCAGTGCATTGGTTGTTTTCCCTCATGATTGCCTGGCTGTCTAGGACTATGGCTCATTTGCCCTTCCTAGCATCTGAAAAACAATATTATAACACCTATTACTAGCTTAGAAAAGATCAAAATTTAAAAATTTGAAGTACAGGACACTGGAGATTTAGCTCAGAGGAAGAGCACTTGCCTGGCAAATGTAAGGTCCTGAGTCTCCAGCTCTGCAAAAATAAAACAAAATGAAACAACGAAAATCTTCAGAGTTCAGGTTTCTACTGAATGCCGTCTACTTTCACACAATTATAAATTGAACTGTTGTAAGTCAGGCACTATTTGAGTAATGTAGAAAATTATGGAATTGTAACTTCGTTGTACAACTACTTAATAATAAAAAAAGGAAATAAGCAGTGAGCATTGAGAAAAGGCAAATGATGTTTAGTGTGTTAGAATAAAGCGATAGGTTCTATAGAAAAAAACAAGATAGGACTGAGAGTGTATGAGTGGGCTTTGGTGATGATTTATAATCTCAAGTTATCAAGATACACCTAGTTGAGAAAGTAGTCCAAATAATCCTTTGAAAGAAATGCAAAGGCTGTAAGGCTGAGGATCAGCAAGGAAGATAGGGCAGGAGCAGGTAGAAAAGGGAAGAGTAAGTCAGAGATGAGATCAGAGACATAATGACTCACTGCATAGTGAGCAGGTCTTTGTAGAGCAGGGACCTCTTGGAGTATAAAGACCTGTAGCCCTGAATTAGATGTAACCATGTGGCCATGGAAGCAGAAGAGTAACTTGAAAGTCCCCTCTTGGAGCTAATTAAACCTCGATGTGGGAGGAAGCAGGGAGACAGTAGGCCCTTCCAGTAATGAGGGTGAGTCATTGGTGGTGGTGGTGGTGAGAGTGGATGTGCTGTGCAGATCTGATATCCTGATGGATTGTGCATGGAAGAAGAATCAGGGATGATTCTGTCCAGGTTTTGTCGAGTGGACTGGAAGGATGGAGTTGCTGTGAGATGAATTAGATAAGGCTGTGGATAGAGACGTTTTGGGGAGGAACAAGCTTTGAGTTTGGCATTGTTAAGATTGAAGGCATCTGTTAGAATCCAGTGGAGACACTCAGTTGGCTGTTACTATGTGTGAATCTGGAGCTCAAGGGTGAGAGCTACACTGGAGAGGTAAAATTCTTTGTTTTTGGCATATGGACAATATTTAATGTCATTTAAATGCACGTGTTGAAATCAGCACTGTCTTCTGACTCTCCCTGTGCGGTTGGGTCTTGTATCAAGACCAGCAATGGGCACTGGTGACCCAGAAACCATTCCTGGTAAGTGTGGAGACGCTCAGAGGAGCAAAAGGTATGTTGCCTCAGCCTAGAGAATTGAATGAAGCTAGCAATACACCAGCTAAGGTGCTGATACTGACTTCCCATGGTTCAGAAAAATTTCTCCCCTTTCAGGCTGAGTAGGGACAGGGAAGCTCTGATTCTTACGTTCTTCTTCCTCAATCATCATTTAATGAATTAGGTATTTGTCATTATAGATAGGCTTGTTGTCATCTGTTCTTATTTTATGTTATTTCTAGAGACAGAGCCCCACAGTTTGTCTCTAAACAAAAACAATCTTTTATGTAAACAGGATACTAGTTGACATAAAAAAATGAGACATTAGTTGAATTTTTAACCTCATTTTATTGTAGATGATGCTGGCCGAGTACCAGCGAGTGAAGTCCAACGTGCCTCCCACCCTTGAGCAGCTGATGTCGCCACACTTGGCTAAGGTGAACGAAGTTCTTCAGCCCGGCCTGGCTGCCCTGACCTGGGCATCACTGAATATTGAGACGTACTTAGAAAACTCTTTTACAAAGATCAGTGAGTCTGTCTAGATGTTGTATTTCATGATCTTTAAAGTCTGTGTCCTTAATATGTATTGCATCATTTCTTATTAATATGGTGATATAAACGATGAACTGAAAAAAATATGATTCTTCAGCTGTTCCATAAGGAATGATAGACACCAGCCATGCGAATTTAGTAATTTCCTGGAAACTATACATGTTCACCTTTTAATTTTATCCTGTGAGGATAACCACATATTTTCAGTTATTCTTAAAGTCGGACATTAGAATTTGAAGAACCTTTAGTTATTCAACTTCCTGTACTGATTGCATTTGAAATTTCTCCTTCCCCTATTCTTCCTCCTCCTCCTCCCCTCTTCTTCCCCTGCTTCCTCCTATTCTTCCTCCTCATTCTGTTCCTTAATCCTCCTCTTTTTTCCTCCTTTCTTTGTAGGGTAGAGATCACACATCTTAGGCCGGGTCTCTACCACTGAGGTTTACTGCCAGTCCTATTAGTGCGTTTTGGGGCCCTTAAGAATGTGCTAGAGTGTTGAACATCAGGACATTGTATATGGGAACATTGTAATCATTATTTTTCTTTAGTGAGCGACACATTACTTCTTAAAGCATGTGTGAGGAGGTGTGTCCCCTATTTGATTTTCTGGAATGTGTACAGATAAACTGCAAAGGATTCTGGACTCAGATGTCTGAGAATACGTTAAGTAGTTAGATGTTAGCTTTCCAGGGGATGTTTTTAGAGCCTTTCATATGCTAGCATGCTACGGGTCTTTAAAAGAGCTCTTGCATGAAACATTTCCATAGTTCCTTGGCTGCCTTCTAGAATATGTTAACCCCTGACAGACCTTCTTTTGATAGGCAAGGGTATGGGTTCACAGTGGTTTGGGTATGCAGGGGTGTGGGTACACAGGGGTATGGGGTACCTAGGGGTTTGGGCACACAGGGATATGCATACATAGAAGTATGGGGTACACAGGGGATATAGGGTTTATGGTTTGGTACATGATACTGATAGATTTTTTCCCCCTTAAAAACTTAAGCATTTCCATTCACCTTTTGAACTCGATGTCACTTATCTTCTTTTCGTGACCAAGCTCTGCCTACTTTTTATAGTCAGGGAAAATCCTCTGCTATTACCCTATTCTCTCCGCTCTACCTCATGTGACTACCTTTTCCTGTGGCTTCCATTGTGTTTACAGCTGGGACCAGAGGCACTGTGTTTCAGATGCTTTCTAATGGTTTAGTCAAATTTCATCTTTCTCCCCAAATTGACTACGAAAGAATTAAAAATTAGGATGTTTCTCATACTTCTTTCTCAATGAGTCTGATGTAGTAGATACTCACATACTTGTGGATTAACAAACCCCAGTCTAACTTCTCAATGTCATCACCTGCTTTCTGCTTCCTGGATCATCTAGATTCCTCCTAGGATATCTCCTTTGTTTTCTCTCTCTCTTTCTTTTCTCTTTCTGTCTAGCGATTATGTGTGGAAATAGGACCTAGATTATTTGAAACCTTAATTGTCAAGAGCTTATCAGTACGTGTATTACTGCACCGTTTGAATACTTAGGGCACAGAACTATAGCTATTTAATATCCCAGTTGCTGTTTGTTTGAGAATATATGCAAAGTGCTGGGTTGAGGGTGGTGAGTAGAGTGAGGTATTATATAGTTGGATACTCCTTCCCTTTGTTCTCCTTGATAGATTGGAATCTAGATTCAAATACAAACTGCTATGGGCTTTGGATCTGGCCAAAGTGTATCATTCCACTATTACTACACTATGAAGGTGCAATAACACAAAATGCACTATTAGGCAACCATAGGACCATAGTGCTATACAAAATTGTAGAACCAATCTTAAGCAGGACCCTGAATTAAAAGGTTGCAAAGCTAAGATCCAGAGATGCGAAATGTCACATCTTGTCATACAGATACAAATAGCCAAGATGAGTTCAGTCCAGTTCCCTTGATTTTGCAGCCCATATTCTTTCCAAAGTACATCTCCCCAGGAAATAAAATAAGAGAAAATTGGCTAAAAGTCTCTAAGGAGGCATTTATAAGGTTCATAAAAGCTTCATAGTAAGAGTTATCACAATCAAATTAGAACAGGCTACCAAGGCAGTCTCCAGGAATATTCTCCCTAGAGAGTTATTAGGATTAGAGTGCTAGCAATTTGGATGTTTTATTAGAATGTTAGCTGGTGAACTAGAAGATAGTTTCTAAAGAAACCTCTTCTTAGCTCTTGTACTCTATTATGTTTTTCTTTTTGCAAGTTAAATAAAGGAACTAAAGTAGAACAAAAATTAAGTTTCTTCAGGAGACAAATTATGTTAAATTTCAAGAACAGTTGGATTTCTTATTGGATTAGGTGTGCCAACTTTTTACAGCTGGTTATTTGTATAATATATTGAAAGAAGTATTAGTATGCTTCAAAGTGATAAAAAATTTTCTATAGGTCTAACTTTGGACATTCTATGCATAAATATTTTTTTAAAATGCTGCTTCAACAAGTTGAGACAAACTAAATGGCTTAAAGTAATACTGTCATGGAATCTTATGGGCAAAATCATGGTGTTGTCAGGGATAGTTTCCTTAATTTTTTTCCAGCTGCTCATTGGCCTAGTAGGTGGCTAGTGGCTACCCCATCTTCAGAGCAACCAGTGTAGGATCTTCAAGTCCCTTTTCACCCTGCTTTCATGGTCATCTGGCTACTCCATCTCTAATCTCCAGTCTCCAATCTCCATCTCTAGAGCTCCTTAGCACATCTGCAAAGTCCCTTCTTCTTTATGGGGTGATACTCCCAGGGGATTAGGGAATGGAAGTCCTTGGAGGAACATTTGCACAATTGTTACAAACATCCTTGAAAATGCTTTGAAGAATCTGTCAGGTGGAAATAGCAAATGAAGTTTAATGTTGCTTCTCCTTTAGTTGAGAATCCTATAAATAGTTTTGTGTCTTGAGTGGCATTCTTAGTAATTATCTTAGGAATAATTGAAACGAAGGCATTAGGAAGTAAAGATATTGATTTAATGAAGGGCTACAGCTCTGATACATAATGCGGTTTCAACACTGGCTTTTGCTGCTATGGTATCAGCCTCTTATGTGAGTGTCCATTAGCCATAGAATTATTGTTGACTTTCTTCAGAGTTGGCCTTTCCATCCACGGAACTCAATGTTCAATATTACCTCAACAAATCTGAACAGGTTTGCCTTATGATGGTAGTAGAACAGAAAAATGAGAGGAAGTTCACCTGAATCGTATTTGTGGAATGTGTCCTATGGACTAGGCAGTGGGGTACATCTGAAGATGTGAGGATGGAAAGGTGAATTCCCAACGAAGATGACACGGGAGTATAGGAAGAGGGAAGGATGTTCAGGGTATAGTAGTGGTGCAGGATGAGGATTTGTTCTGTTCGTGGAGATCCACACACAGCTTCCTTAGAAAAGAGACCTAGCGAGGCAGGTGTGAGAGTTGGGGAGAAGTGAAAGGAGGCACAGCATGACACAAACAAGTGTGCAACAGCTGTAGGGCCCAGAGACATAAGAAATCTGAGAAAGATGAGTCTTGATTTAAGTACTGTTATTGAATGATATGTATGTATAGGAAAATGCTTACTTAATTTCATTCATTCATTTTTCCCCCAAAGAGGACCTAGAGCTGCTGCTTGACCGGATCAATGATTTGATTGAGTTCCGTATTGCTGCTGTTCTGGAAGAGATGAGCAACACCCCTCTTTGTGAGCTTCCTGGAGAGCAGCCCCTCACCTGCGATGAGTTCCTCCAGATGACCAAGGTTACTAGACTACTGATACTTTTTATTTTGTTATGATTATTATTTGCTTTTGTTTTTGTGTTGGTCCTGGGACTTGAACTGATGGCCTGGGCACTGTCCCCCAGCTACTTTTTGCTCAAGGTTAGTGTTCTACCGCTCAAGCCACAGCTATTTGGTGATAATTTGGAGGTCAGAGTCTTATAGACTTTCTTGCCTGGGCTGGGTTTGAACTGTGATCTTCAGAACTCAGCCTCTCAAGTAGCTAGGATTGCAGACATGAGCCACCAGGACCTGGGTAAATTATTTTTGCAGTTTGCTTTTCTATAAAGTGCATTTTTCGGAAGTGTACGTTAGTTTTATCCCTTGTACTTTGATCACTATATGGTAGATGTGATCCAAATGAAGAACCTTCTGATAATAATTTGAAAAAAGAGCTGCATCTCAACAGACACTTAGATGTGTAATAATCTCTTTCTTTTAGATCAATAGGAAAGGAACACCTTTCTAATTTATCCAGATTTCATAGAGTAGAGCTGTTCAGCTGAGGGGCAGATGGTGAGCTGGGGTTAACTGATGCATAGTTGTTTTGAACAGCTCCTGGATAAGATTCTGTCTTTAAGTGTTTCTGTGGCACAGTTTTGGAGTCATCTCTGAGATCCTTGGGAAAGACTGAACCTAAAGCTTTGACATCAGAGCTTCATTTAACTTTCCTGTTCAGCCATTCTCATGCTTTCTTTCTCCCCAAAGAGCTAATGAACAGCTCATCCTTCCTAGCAATGAAAGTGCAGAAATGTAAGTGCAGTTTCTGCCCAGTAAAGCCCATTAACAAAGCCCAAAGTTTTAATTGGGTCTGGCCTTGTAGGCATATTCTGCTGAGCGTGAAAAATCTCATATATGCACAAGAAAAGTAGGTGCTCACTTCAAACTGCATCATATACCCAAGGAGTCTAGGCACAGGGAACTACCCTCAGCAAGGAAGTAGGGAGAAACTTTCCCAGTCTAAGCTTTCTTGCATAGCCAAGGGCCAAACTAAGAACCAAAATCCTTTTTAAGGATTTCAATTTCAGGCCTTCTGTCTTTCTGAATGGATGGTAAGCTTCAGTTCACTTTAACTTGTTAATAGTTGAAATGTTGATCTACCTTTTGTTGGCTTCTCCTGACACCCCAGTAGGTATTTCTGCTTTTTATTTTTTGGCTAATAGGTTGTAGGGCTTGAGCTCAGGGCCTGGGTGCTGTCCCTGGGCTCTTTTGCTCAAGGATAGTGCTCTACTACTTTGAGCTACAGCTCTACTTCTGTTTATATTCTTTTATCTTGATTAGTTAATTGGAGATAAGAGTCTCCCACGACTTTTCTGCCTGTGCTAGCTTGAACCACTATCATCAGATCTCAGCCTTCTAAGTAGCTAGGATTACTAGCTTGAGCCATTGACACCTGGACTATTTTTCCTTATTTTTAATGTTGCCTGTCTATTTAAGAAATCTCTTGGTTTCATTATTGAACAGAAATGCACTTTTCAAAAATTTCAAGGTAAGTTTTAGAATAAGGTAAAAACAAAAAAGTTAACATTTTTCCATTCCAAAATTAAAACAATGGCTCTGAAATTACTGGGTCCCTATTATGCACATTAGCATAAATGTTTGCAAAATATTCCCTTATAATGTTCCAAATCTTGTTTCTGTCATGATGTTCCCATTCTTGTCTCTAATTTTATTTATTTGGGTGTGTTTTCTTCATTTTTTTTTGGTCAGGTATTCTAAGTGTTTGTCAATTTTGTTAGTTTTTTTTTTCAAAGAACCAACTCTTTGTTTTGTTGATTCTATGTTTTTTTTTGTCTCTAGTTCATTTATTTATGATTTAATTTTGATTATTTGTTTCCATGTACTGGTTTGGGGTTTGGCTTGTTCCTTCTTTTTCAAGGAGCTTAAGGTACATCATTAAATTGGTGATTTGAGAGCTCTCCTATTTGCTGATGTAGGCACTCAGAGCTATAAATTCTCCTCTTGAGTACTGCTTTTGTTGTGTTCTAGAGCAGCTGGTATTTTGTGTGCTCATTTAAAAAATTTATAAACATTTGAATTTCCATTATGATCTCTTCAGTGACCCACTGGTCATTCAACAATGTGTTGTTCAGTCTCCATGAGTTCGAGAATTTTCTGTGGTGGCTTTTGGTGTTGAATTCAAATATTATTCTGCTGTGGTCTGACAGGATGCAGGGAATAATTTTAGTATTTCTGAATTTGCACAGATTTTCTTTGTGACCTAAAATGTGATCTATTTTGGAGAATGTTCCATAAACTACTGGGAAGAATGTATTCTGATGCTGCTGGGTGAAATATTCTGTAGGTGTCTATGAAGTCTAGTTGGTTAATACAATTATTTTGGTCTGAGATTCCTTTGTTGAGTTTTCACCATGATGATCTAGCCAAAGGCAACAGTGATGTGTTGAAGTCACCAACAATCAATGTGTTTGCATCTATGTGTGTTTTTAGGTTAAGTAGTATTAGTTTGATGAAGTTAGGTGCTCCAGCATTTGGTGTATAGATGTTTAGAACAGTTATATCCTACTGTAGTAGAGATCCTTTTATTAGTATGTAATGTCCTTCTTCATTTCTACTCATTAATTTTCATTTGAAGTCTATTTTATCTGATATTAGTACTGCTACTTTGGCCTGTTTGTGGGGGTCATTGGCTTGAAAGACTGCATTCTAGCCTTTCAGTTTCAGAATTTTTTTTTTTTCTGGGGGAGTGGTTGGTTGTGGGGCTTGAACTCTGGGCCTGGACACTGTCCCTGAGCGCTTCAGCTCAAGGCTAGTGCTCTACCACTTGAGCCACAGCACCACTTTTGGTTTTCTGGTGGTTTACTGGAGATAAGAGTCTCATGAACTTTCCTGCCCATGCTGGTTTTGAACTGTGATCCTCAGATCTCAGCCTCCTGAGTAGCTAGGATTACAGGCATGAGCCACAGGTGCCTGGTGAATGTTTTTTTTTTTTTTTTCCTGGCAAAATATGTCTCTTGAAGACAGCGGATGGATGGGTCTGATTTTTGATGCAAGTAGTCAATCTATGTTGTTTAATTGGAGAGCTAAATCCATTAATATTGACAGTTAGAACCGAGAGATGTTTGGTAGTTCCTGACATGTTATCCACCTTCTTATGTTTTGTGCCTCATCTTTTTTTTAAAACTATATTTATCTAGTTCTCTGATAAGGGACCTTTTCTCTGCACTATCATGTTTTTGTTGGTTTTCCATATGTAGGGCATTTTTTTCAGTATCTTCTGTAGTGCTGGTTTAGTGGAGATAAATTGTTTCAGTTTTTCCTTGTTGTAGAAAATTTTTATTTGTCCCTTAGTTATGAATGAGAGCATTGCTGGGTGCAGTATTCTCGGTTGGTAGTTGTTTGCTTTTAAGGCATAGCATAATTAATTCCAGGCTTTCTTTGCTGTACTGGCCTCAGCTGAGAAATGTAGTTTTTCTGACTGGTTTTTCTTTATAAGTAATTAACCTTTTCTCTCTGACAGCTTTAAGGAACCTTTCATTAGTCTTTATTGATCCTATGTGGATTAATGTGTCGATGAGATGTTCTTTTCTAGTCTGGTGTGTTTGGAGTTCTAAAGGTTTCTTGTATCTGAAAGGGCCAACATTTTGGATATTGGAAAGTTCTTTGCTAGAATTCTGTCAAACATGTTTCTTATACCTTTAGTTCTTCTCCTTTCTCAATACCTATCAGTCTTTTTTTTTTTCATTTTGAACACTTTGTAAAATGTGTCTTTTTTATTGTGAAAATACTGTACAGAGGGGCTACAATTACATGGGCAAGATAATGAGTACATTTCTTATCAAACATTGTAGCCTCCTCCTTTGTTTCCCCTACCCATCCCTTCCCATACTCCCCGTCTCCCCCCCCCCATCAGTCTTATAGTAGGTCTTTCGTCTGATTGATACTTGAAGTTCAAGCTAAAGAGCTTGTTTCTTGTTTATTCTGGATAATTGTCTCCTCTTTCTCAATAATATCTAATCTGTCTTTGATTCCTGAGACTCTGTCTTCTACGTTATCTATTTTTGCTGTCAAGACTTTCTACTTTATTTTTTTATTTTCCTGACTTTTAATTGATCAGTGTTGATGGCTTCTATCACTTTGTGGAAGCTTTCTTTTAGGTCTTGCATGGATTCCTTTACTGTTTTAACCTGTTTATCTGTGTCTTCTCTCATATCCCTTAGCTGAGGGACTATTTTTTCATTGGTCTCTCATTCCTTTATTTGGAATTTATTTAGCTTTCTGTTGAAATTTTTTAGAATAATCTTTGGGGTTCTGGGAAGATGGTGGAGAACAAGCTGGAGGCTAAACAAGCTCTCGCATAGAAAGCAGTTTTAGTGCTCCAGTGAACAGTCCTAAGCCAGAGAATCACATCAAGTGTGCCATCACGGTACAGAGAGTTAGGCCAGAGAGGGAAAATCCAGGCAAGGAGACAGATCTGAGCACTTGCCAGCAGTTGCAGCGGTGGCAGCGGCCATAGCCACCATACCTGCAACACAGAGAGTCCGGGACAAAGGCTCCAGACGCGGTAGGCGAGCGGATTCTACTCAACACCAGCAACAACTGACAAGGAGCAGACATCTTCATCCTGCAGTTCGCAGACCAGAAACGACCCAGGAACCAAGACTCGGCGTGAGTAGAAGCCTGGCGTCCTCACTCCTTCTCAGGGAGCAGAGGAGAGAAGGCCACCTCTCCCCTCTCCATTACCTGAGATCTCCATCTTTGATACTGACAAAGGCCTGGCTGAGCAGCTAGCTCCAACTCAGGCCTTGGAAGAAAACAAGAGTCATTTAGCAGGTCACAGGAACCTAGCCTGACCTGCCAGGCTCAGCTCCACCCAGGGGAAAGTCACCCAGTCTGGGCTGGGCAAGCTCCACCAGCCCCAGGAGTGGCTTTTTTCACTGGGTAAACAGAGCCAGAGGCTGCCCCTCCCTACAGCAGCCTTGACAATCAATTGAAATTCAGTAAACAGAAACCATGAGAAT